TAATAATAATGTACTCTAACTTCAGTCCTGTTCTAGATTTTTGCATTTTATTGTAAGGCCCCCTTCAAAATGAACAGTGATCCCACTTTGAAATTAACAAATCATGTAGAAAGTGAATGATGTTTTTACTGCTGTTTGTCTCAGTCATTTCCTGCTGCATCCTAAAATGAAACCCACACCAGGAGACTGTAACTTGTTAAAGAAGAAGGTATTTTCTGAGTGAAAGGACGGTTAGTGCAACTCATCCACTGATGCAGTCCTGTAGGGGCTACGCTGGTAAACCAGGATAGTTTCAACATCTGCCTGGAATGGAGGAAATCCCTGTTGAAACATGAACACCACTAGACCGCTGAAAGTCTGCTGTGATCTCTAGCACCAAGCTACGAGGATCAGATCCTTTAACCCAGTGTCTCTGCTGTGACTGTTACAGTTTAGTTGGTTAATTCGTAAAAGCTGCAGCTCTAAGACGCCTGCTACAACTCTGTGAACATTTAAAGAGAAAACTTGTTTCGAACATGTTTAAAGGTCATGTGACTCAGATGTGTGACTCCTGCTAGGAAAGCGAGAACCCACCCTGAACGTTTTGGGAACATTTTAGGACCTCCCAGGTGCCGTTTGAGGTACTGATTTTAGGACCTTGAAGTTTAGATTTGGGGGCGTCATGGATTGTACTTGTCTCTTCAGCAGTCACACGTTTAAACGTAAAGTCAACAGCTTGAATATTGTATTCAATAAACTGTTGATGATTTTTTTATGGTACCTACATGACAGCAGCCATCAGAAGCAGAGCTGCCTCATTTTGAGTTTTCCATCATGTGTTTCAGTCAGAGCAGAAACATCCCACAGAAGCTGTAAGATGTTACGCAGCAGGTGTTAAACCAGCTCCAATGATTTATAGTCATTTAAATGTTTCTGCTGACTTCAGTAGCTCCAACACACAAACTGAACAGAATGAGCCAACACTCAGGTGTGATACATCATTGTGTTTCCTTCTACCTGGCAGAGGTCCTAATGTTTTGGCTGATTGGTGACTGGTTGTTGGCAGTGTTAACTTCTGAAACATAAAATCTATTAGCTCTTTCTGACAGAATACTTTTATAATTTTGAATCTTTATTTTTGTTACATTGTTTTTACATTTTCCATGAGGAATATTTTGTGCTTACTACTCTGCAAATGAGTGAAGCTGGTTTTTAATCATTGAGTGCATCAGTTAAACCCAATGTTGTTAAACAGCCAGGAGCTTTAAGTGGGCACATGACGAGGGGCTTAAAGTGGGTCTTTTGATTATAACAATGTGGAGGACAGAATAGTATGGAGCTAAATTGCGGTCATAAGTTTTGTTCAAAACAAAAGAAACTCGAAACTGAAAAATATTTTTGAAACTGGAAAAAAAATTTGTATCTGAAAAATAACTTTGAAACTGAAAAACAATTTTGAAAGTGAAAAAATAATTTTAAAACTGAAAAAAATATATTTGAAACAGAAAAAAATACTTGAAACTGAAAAACAATGGATTACAATCTGGAAAAGTTTCAAACATCTTGTCTTTTCAGTTTCAAACTATATTTTCAGTTTCAAAATCTCCATTTTTCAGTTTCAATTTTTATTATTTTGAACAAACCTTATGACTCCAATTTAGCGCCGTAGATAGGACACGATTAAATATAACTAAATTCAATTTCTGTAAAATGCAGAATGTAGAATTTGTAGATGTGTGGATTTTTTTTTTCATTTAACTTGATTTATGCTGCTGCAGACTTCATTTGCCAGGAAATATGTTGTGAGTTTTAGGTTTATATGTCAACCAAAACATCTCCTTTGTTCATTGCAGGAGAAAAAAAAACTTTTTAACTCAAAGTTAACAGAGTAAATTTCTACACAAGTACCTTTACTTCTACTTAAGTAAAATTTCAACTGAGTAACTTTACATTTACTTGAATAAATTGTTTAGCACTCCTTTCACTTCTGGCAGGAGTTAAATATGTGCAACGTTCAAAGGTCTAACTGAGCACAGGGTGAATCAAAAGTCTCAGGACACATTATTTCAGAAAGAAAAGAGAAATGGAAATATTTGAATACTGCTGCATAGAATGGCTGAGTGGGTCTATCTTATGACCAGAACATGGTGTCAAGAAACCCAGCTGTACCAGCAGCTGAAGGAATTGGAAACAGGCCTTCTGACCCCAATCTTGACCCCCAGCTAGGGAGAGTGAGAGATCGGCGAAGAAGTCACAAACAGAGCCAAGAAGGAGGAACATCAGCCCAAAAAGATGAAAAGGAGAAAAGAAAGAAGAGAAAGAAAGAGTGAACAACATAATTTTAATGCTGGCAAATGGTAATCAAATTAAATGATTTAAATGCTTGTTGCAATGTGTGGTTTGAGTAATGAAATATGCTTTAAAATTGAGTGTTAAGGTGTGTTTTAATGTAAGATGGTGGATTATTGAAATGTATTTTTATATATTCTTAAAGTTTAGAAAGATAATAAAATGTGTGTGTGCAGCAGCATAAGATGGTTAAAACAACATGTTCCATTCGAGCAGCAACAGGAAGAGCAGGTGCAATGGTTCTGATAGGAAAGAGGAAGTGGGTTACTGGCTGTGGAGAGGAAGCAGACCAAATAAGGGCACGGGGGGATGCTTTGCTGAGACTGAGGCAGCTCATGAAGAGGAACTTTAAAAGGCCTACATGACAATGGAAAGTTCCAGTGACAGTTGTATGTTGGGCCAACTGGCCAATCACAGACTGACATGAGGGCACAGATGGAACAAAGAAGAGGAAGTGATAGCGCCCAAAACTGTATAAAAGAAGGAGTTTTGAGCTGTTCTGGGCCCACTTGGGCCAGCCTGGAGAACAAGCAGCAAGGCAAGGAGCAACCAAAGAAGAGGAGTCGGCCATATTGGATCAAATAAAAGGCTGTCCTGTGACTTTTGACTCACACTGTAGAATGGAAGTGTGTGACTGAACAGGTCTCAAAGCCGAAAAACGAACTGTTGTGACCTGAAATACAAATCAGATTTCACTTCTTGTAACCAAAAACAGCTGTTTACGACACAGAAGGGTGTCAGATGTTAAAATCTGAAGTTTTGATTCGCTGATACAGACACAGTTTGGTGTCTGAGCTCCCTCTGCTGACATGCCTGAAATATTAATTTGTGGCAAAATGAATAAAAAAACAGATCTGATGCTTCTGAGGAAACTTCTTTTAAACATTCCTCTGTTGTTTCTCGCTCAGAAACAGATAATGACCAGTGAAAACACTGAGGCCTAGCTATAGGATGTTTTTTGTTGAGGAGCAGCGGTTTTACTCCGAGCTCACCCCCAGATGATGGAGGAATCTTATTTCAGCTGTTTGTATCCAGGATCTCGTTCTTTCACTTCTGATTTGTACTTGTTAAATGATGGTCATAGCTGAGGGTTGTAACGTCAAACAAACTAAAATCAAGAGCTTTGCCTTTCATCTCCTTCACCATGTCAGGCTGGAGCTGTGCTCTCATTACTGTCAGAGAGGCACAGATCTGTCCAACCAGTCCCGCCTCGTTCTGGAAGCCATGTGAACTCCTCTGCTTGAGGCAGAGACTCGTCCCCAAACTTGGAGGGATGGTTCCACCTTTTCTGGCTGAGACCAATGACCTCAAAGTCAGAGGATCTGTGGTAGAACTCCTGAAGACAAATGTTTATCTGCATGCTTTTTAAAGAGCTTCAATGTTTTGTATACCACCTCTAAAAGTTGCATCAGAACCTCCCTTTGTTGATATTATTGCATAGTACGGACAGACTGAGCAGGTAAACTGTCAGCGATCTGTGGTTTGTTGTTAACTAGTAGGTAAGATGTAAAGTTTACTGGCTTTAATTTTAAACTGATCATTCACTGAACTTCCAACTTAGACCAGGACACAGAGTTGATCATCATCATCCTCAGTGAGTCGGGCTACAAATTAAAATCAGAGGAGAATCATGTTTCAAACAGCACTTTAACTAACTGATCAGTAAAAACAGAAATAATCAGTCTGACCTTTAACCCCTTCTATTTAGGCCTAAAGTACTCGTTGACAAAACAATCCCCAAATCACAACAGCACATTGAATTTTCCATTTATATACAGGTTTCTGTGGGATAAAGTCTGAATATATTAAATAAAATCTGAGGACTTTTCATCAAGACAAAACATCAAGAAAACCACAAGTTCTGATCCTTTAAGACTGACAGGGTAAAAACTAGATCATTTACTTCCTCTTATGTTGAAGCACTCTAAAGAATGTCCACTTTGATATTCTGACAGCTGTAAATAACCACATTAAACAAAACTAGAGGGATGTTTTTGTGAGGTGTAAAATCATTTCCTGTCAGGAATAACAACAATCTCTTCCTCTTCTCTGCTTGTTTTGTTGGTCTGTTGAAATGGATCCACTTCGTCACTTCTCTTACTTTTATTTCCCGCTCTCTTCTGGTTTTTTGTTGCCTTTGCTGTCATGAGTTGCTGCAGACGAGTGGCTTTCTTGAGTGAAGGTTGTTGCATCACTTCAGGTCGATGCCTTCAGGTGGCGCCTTCTTCTCCTTGGCCTAACAACACAAACAAAAACACAAATAAGATTAACAAATATGTTTACAACTCAAAGCAAGTTTTTACCTCCTTAGATGCTTTACCTTTGTTATTATTATAAATCATTTAGCATTAATATAAACTGGCCTGTTGGACAAAAAAAAAAGCTCTTAAGTGACAAAATTAAATCAGATTTCTCTAAACTAACACCAACTAAATAAAGACATCTTATTTAAAATAAGTGACTGTCCTGCCGTCAGTCTGTCCTATCTGAACCGAAGCTTTAATTGATTGATTGAATTAACAATAATATTGCATGGACATACACATGAAGTGCATCCATTATTAGTACACATCCATTGTACTATGTGTACTTAGCTAACACAAGAAAGTGAGAACACATCATTTTTGATCTAAATTAATTTAACTATAATTTAACTCCATCAGAGTGGTCTCAGGCGTCTTGGTGGTGTAGTGTCCAAGAGTGGGGGCCTCTTCTCAGGAATGCACAGATGTGTTATGTCTCTTTTAGACCCCAGCTTCAGAGCTCGGCACATATTACCATATTAGGAAAGGGAATGCTTAAGGTATACCGTGACAAAATTTATGATGCCTCTTTTGAACTACACTGTGAAGCCTATAAAGAGCCTTGTACGCCCCCACCCTTGGCCTTCGTACTTCATCTTTCTTCCTTGGTGAATCATTTGGCTTGAAGGCCACAATTTGGTTTTTGGCTATAATCTCCTGGACTGCAAAATAAAGATTCTTGCTGTTCAACCAGCCTGTTTCAGAGTTTCTCTCTTCATTGAGCAGCAGCAGTTCAGCAGAACCAGCAGATGTGGTTATTTCACCACAGTGGTTTCTTTATTTTACTTCTTGTCTCTCAATTTGTGAACACGACCTGCTCTCTGTAGATTTACACATTTTCTTGTATTCTTTCTATTGTCACATGATTGATTGAGCAGAACTCAGGGGATGTTTTTTTACCTATTTTTTGCTGATCTTTTCTCTGAGGTGAATTAGGACAGGCCCTTTAAATGGGGTGATTATTTATGCAGTCGCTTATTTTAATTATATTTTTTAAAAATATCATTACTTTGGAGATATTTGATTTCACTTTGTCATTGCGAAGGGTTTTTCTTTTGTCAAAAAGGCTGATACATATTGAACATGGCTGATTTCCTTCCTTCCATCCATCCATCTGAAGAAATTTTGTAACTGATTAATTGAATATTAGATTCAGTATTGTATTTTATACTTTCTGATCATTTCAGTCTGTAAGGTTGAAGCTGACAAAGAGTTGGTGTGTGTGTCATCATATGTTCTTTCTTTTAGCCTAAACAAAAATGAGTGACGTTCTGATGTCTGACGTAAAAGGTAACACCTCTGGGGTGTAACCAGGAAGAAAGATACATTATGAGCGCCATTCATTATTATAGTGAAAAGGAGTTGTCACAGTGTGTTAGAGTCTCTGATTCTAAGCAGAGCCGCTCTGCTTTGTTTGGGTTTTCTTGATATGAACCCAAGGCCTTACACTGAGGCCTGTGCTGCTGAGTGCTGCTGTAAACCTGATTGGAGTCAGAAGATTAAAAATAAAGTTTTAAAGAAGAAATCCAGCCGATTCCTGTTTTATTCAGACATACCATTTTGAACAACGCAAATTTTTCCTACAAATCCATCCATCCATCCATCCATCCATCCATCCATCCATCCATCCATCCATCCATCCATCCATCCATCCATCCATCCATCCATCCATCCATCCATCCATCCATCCATCCATCCATCCATCCATCCATCCATCCTCTACAGTTTGTTCCAGAGTCAGGTCGCAGGGGGCAGCAGTTTGAGCAGAGAGGCCCAGACCTCTCTTTCTCCGGCCACCTCTTCTAGCTCTTTCTGGGGGGGACTTCAAGGTGTTCCCAGGCCAGAAGAGAGACATAGTCTCTCCAGCATGTCCTGGCTCTTCCACAGGGTCTCCTCCCAGCAGGACATGCCTGAAGCATCTCCCTACGTTAAGGAGGCATCCTTACCTGATGAACCAGCTCAGCAGATGAACTGCCTGTATCCATAACCTTCTTCTTTCAGTCACTATCCAAAGTTTGTGACCATAGGTGATATGGTCCATAGGGTAGGAACGTAGAGAGCTTTGTCTTACAGCTCTGCTCCCTCTTCACCACAACAGACCAGTACAGAGTCTGCAAATAGTAAATGGGCTGTACTACATTGCTTCTTTCTATTCAGTCAGGATACTCAAAGCACTTTACACTACAATCTGTGCCATCATTTACCCATTCACACACACATTCACACACAGATCATTGTACTTGCATCCAATTGAGGACTTCATATTCACTTCCATTCATTTTTGTAACTGCATTTATGCCTAATCCTAACCATTACTGGTTTGTATACCTAACCCTAACCTGCACCAAAACCTCTAAACCTAACTATTAGAGCACAGTAGGGCTGAAAAAAAATGTGAGGACTGGGAAAAGGTACACCAAGGATCATACTCGTGAATGAAACCCCAAGATACTTGAACTTTTCCACTTGAGGCAGAACCTCGCCTCAACCTGGAGAGAGCAATCCACCTTTTTCTGAGTGAGAAACACGGTCTCAGATGTGGAGATGTTGATCCTCATCTCAACTGCTTCACACTCAGCTGTGAACTGCTTCAGTGTGAGCTGAAGAACGTGGTGCAATGTTGCCAGCAGGACCACATCGTCTGCCAACAGCAGAGATTGAATCATGAGACCCCCAGGCTGCACCGAGAAATTCTGTCCATAAAAATGGTGAATAGAATCGGAATCTGCCTCCTACCCTGAAAGGGTGTGATGGACCCACCCTAGTGGGAAAGATTTGCTTTCTGTAAAAATTTGTTCCAAATTGTGTCAAAAGTAAAGACTTCAGGCTTTACATGATTTTTTTATTATGTTGATAGACCAAGTAAAACCAAAGTTATGATAAATAAATTACAGGACTTAAAAAAAATCTTCGTTATATTTGAAGCGGAGAGGAACACCAAGCGGACTGACCAGGGAAACCTCCAGTCAGTCTGCCTGATGGCATTAATCATCAAGTGCCAAAAATTAATCGATTAAAGTTTTTCTAACAATTAATTGTTCACAATACAATTTTGCCCAATCCCAATCATGCACCTGATTCACATGACCCCTCCTGCAGGTGGTGGGCCCACAGTAAAGCAAATTCATGTTGCTCGTTGGGGCTGCGCCTGCCTGGACACGAATAAACCAGACCACCAGACACTCACTGATGCAAGTAGGGGTCTCTGCGGACGAGTGGGCGTGTCACAACGAAAGGCGATTCTAAAGCAACACACCTGATCAGACGGACTTTTTAAAAGGGACACACCTGACTGGATAAGCAAAAAAGGGGCGTCACCGTACAGCACCACCTGATTGGACAAGAACAAAAGGGGTGTCACCGTACAGCACCACCTGATTGGACAAGAACAAAAGGGGTGTTACCGTACGGCACCACTTTTTCTGGAGAACTCTACTTGGGTCACATTTCTCCTGGTTAACCTTAGTGTTGGGGTCAGGGTCAGGCTGTAAAGAAGTCAAGCAGGGTCTAAGGAAACCGTCATGTAGGCCTCAGAGCCCACAGTATATGGTTTAGACACGCCCACTTTGATTCCGCAGATAACCCTTTCTCCACTGATGAGCCCCTCCCCACATCCAGGCAAGGGTGTGAGGTTGTGTGTTTTTGTTATTCTGTGTTTTCTCTGTGTCTCCACCCGTCAGTTCTCCTCAGCTTATTTCCTTGTCATTTCTCAGCTAACCATCCTCACCTGTCTTGAATCCCCAATTAGTTCTCCCTCCAGGTGTTTGTAATTTTCCCTCTCCCTCTGTCTATTTAAATACTGGTCTTGTCCTCCACAGACTCACTGGTTCATTGTTTGGTTTCCCCACCAACTGTTATGGTTTCTCGTTATCTCCTTGTCGTTCTTTAAGTTTTGTTTATTTAACTGCCCTGACAGCTTTTTGTTTTATTTTTGATAAAATAAATATTTTTCTTAAAACTCTTACCTCCGTCCAGATTTGGATTCATTCCTTAGTTAAAACGTAACAAAGGGACACTGATCTCCTTAATTGTTTTTGTTCATACAAGTGTTTTGAACTGCTCAGGCCTGTCACCTAGGACCAATCTGCCTCGTGAGACCCAGTTTTTATTGTCCCCGACTTTATGGTTCCTAGGATCATTCAGACACATAAACTCCTCTACCACAATACGATGGAGGAGTTAGGGCTAGGGTCCACTGTGCTGATTCATTTTGACCATGTCTGATTAAAAAAAGCCTAAAACTTAAGAAGGTAAAGCAACCAACAGTAACCTACAAACCAACAACTGAAAACAGTTATGTTTAAGTCTAACTTCAAACCAGAACAGGTCAGTTTACTTTGAACCACTGCAAAAATAAAAAGAGTTTATTTTTCAATCATGAAAAACGTACTCATGAAGATTCCAGCATTCTGATGTTCAACTCACCCTCAGAGATGGTCGAGGAGGCCTGACTGGTCTAACTGGAGGTGTTGGCTCAGGTTGTGGGTTTTCCTGCCTTCTGCCCAGGGGCTCAAGGTCATCAGCAACATCAGGACAACCGATGTATCCCCCAGCACCGAAGACTGATCCCAAATCCCCTTCTAAAAGACTGTGGCTGTTTGCAGGGTTGAACACACTCTGAGCAGCTGACACATTGCTGATGGTCTTATGAAGTCTGTCTGTGGTGGCAGAACATATGTTTGTGTTGCTGGGTTCCAGTCCCAGTAGATTCTCTGATCCCAGATCACTGTCTGAGCTGTTATTAGAAGAACTCAGATCGGCCTCTGCTTCTACAGGACTCTGGTTGTTGTTTCCTTCAAGAGGATTTTCTGTGTTGGTCAAGTCCAGGTCCTCCTGGTTTTCATGTGTGTCTAAATCAAGTAGCTGCTGGTTTTCATTGATACTGAGCTCCTGAACTTCCTTATACTCATGATTATCTGATGCGAGCAGATCTAGATTTTCTTTGTTGTCGTAACTCAAAAGCTCTTGATTCTCATACTGATCTAAGTCCGGCACCTCTTGATTTTCAGGATGGGAGAATGCCAACAGTTCCTGATTAACATGGTCACAAGTTTCCAGCACTTCTTGGTTATCATGGCTACAAAGTTCAAGGAATTCCTCATGGCTGGTACTGGAACAAGGCTCCAACACTTCTTGGTTTTCATGACCGCTAAAATCAGCGAGTTCCTGGTTTTTATCAGCATCCAGCTCATTGTTTTCACAGTGACAGGGCTCTGTCACTTCTTGGTTTCCAGAATATGGCAGCGTTGGAAAATTCTGGTCACAAGGTTGAAACACTTCTTGGTTTTCATAAGTGTGAGGTTTTAGTATTTCCTGATTGGCAAAGTCAAAGTTCTCCATTTGCTCATTATCTTCATAGGTGCAAAGGCCCATCACCTCCAGGTCACCATGATCACAAAGGTCCAGGACCTCCTGGTTCTCTTCCTCAGGACTGAGCTTAAAGCCATAAGGATCGGAGTCACGTACCATCTGAGAGGCAGTGATTTCAAACCCGTAAGGATCAAAGTTCAGTTCATGTGGTGGAGAAGAGGAGGCTTCAGGATCGAAGCTCATGATATTTTCAATCGATTTTGGGCTCAGATCAGCTTCATCTGGGTCAAGGAAGGAGTGTTGAGAATGTTCTGGACTGAGTTTAAACCCATACGGGTCAAAGGAAGGCTGGCAGCTTGGTTCGTAGTTCAACTCGAAGTCATTTTGTTCCAAATCAGGCTGAGCGAGGTTCTGAGAGTCCAGTGAGTTCTGGGGAGGTGCAGGGTTCTGAGGGTTCTGTATGACGTTACAAACCTCTTCAGTTTTATTGCAGCTTGAGTCACAGGGCAGAGTTTGATTTATGTCATCTGTCCAATCGAGCTCCAGCTCTGAATGTTCACTGTGCTGATGGAAACCTTCAGCTGGGCAAGAACTCACACCTAGCAGAGGAAAACCCAGGGTTATTATAGTTAACTAAAACTAACGAAAAAACTAAAATTAAAAAATTTTTTAGTTAACTGAATTAAATAAAAACTAAAACAAAATGTAGAAAATATTAACTAACTAAAACTGTATATCGTTTTACAAAACTAACTAAAACTAACTGAAATTATCAACAGAATATCCTTCCTTTTAGTTTTTTAAAATAAAATAAAATAAAAAAATAAAAGACCCCCACCCAAGCCACTACGATTATGGGATGAACCTGGTAGCATGACATTTATTAGGAATAAAGACTTCTGAGTTCTGGTGCATTTCTGCGTGCGGGGGTCATTATGTTACCACTATGCGGTATCTAGTTTGTTGTTGTTGTTTTTTTTTCAGAGTAACACCGGTAAATAACAAACAAGGGCAACACCTGATCATAGTTTATCAATATGCATAACATTATGTTAGATATTATGTGCAATGTGTAGTGAGACATTTGAAGCAACAAAAGGTGGAGAGATGGCGAAAGTTCAGGAGAGGTCTGAAATTAGTTTAGTGAAATACAGTATATAATAGCTTGTTAATACTTTTTAAACATAATTTTTTTATCATGAGAAGAAGAGAGAGGAGAACAGGTGGAGCATCAGGTTGTGAGGTCCTGTTTAAAAACCATATTAATTATAATAGATGCAGATTGAGCAGGTGAGGACTGATGTCAGGTTGATGTTTCATTATTTCCACAGTTATAAGGGTTTGAGTTAGGTTGTGATTAGGTTGTCAGCTGCAGAACAGCACCCCACTAGAGTTCTGTACATTTATCTGGTGAAATGCTTCTCCATAGTGATAAATATGTGAATTTTTTTTTCTTGTTTAGTTTAAAATGAGCCACCTTTAGGTTCAGGAGTGTACCTCATCGCTGAAGCCATTTTGTATGTTTAGCAGCAGCAGTGCAGGGGCTGCACAAAGGAGACAAGAGGAGAGCAGGTACAGAGCTGGAGCTCTTGAATTAAATTAGTGAAAACTTTTACTGTAAGTTTTACTGTAGGTTGTGCTGTAAACAGAGCTGACAGAATATGAGAGTAATGCATACATCTGTAAATCAGTTGTATGATAAAAACCTTAACAGATACTTTTTAGCTTCTGTAAGTCACTTGCTGGTGCTGTACATTACAGTTTGTGGTATTCTCTGTTGTAAATGTGTTGATGTCTTGCAGGGACATCAGAGCAGGAAGTCAGAGTGAGGGAGAGACAGGAGCAGACCAACAGGTAAAAGAGAGGAACACAGAACAGGTATTTTATATTAGAAAGTCTTGTGATGGCAATAATATTTGTAAATATTGCAATGGTGATATCAGATGTGATCTATGTCTTTTATTTCCTCTCTTTCTAATCTGTACTTCCTATTTTATGTGATTGTTAGTATGTTTGGTCAGGTGTGAGCTTTTGCTGCCATGAGACTCTGTCCTACTGGATAAATATTGCATTAGCATGAAAAATACAACTTCAAACCTCTTCAAATACATTAGTCAACAATTACAATGCATCAAGAAGTCCTTTGTGGTATGAATATTGCACACTCTGACATTGTGATGACAATATATTTGTTATGCTGTGCAATCCTATAAGACTAGAGATATTTTGTTGGGTGATTTACCCACATCACCAATTTTTCAAGAAAAGATCCAATAGCTTTGCAGTGTAGTTGATTTACGACATATTTCTGCTCAGACTATGTACAAATCTGTCAGGTTTCCAATATTATGTGCCCCCTCAATAGTGAACTCATTCCTACACCCTTGGCTGCTGGTTAGTTAACTCAGAAACACCACAAGCAGGAGGATGCATTGGCAAATATGTTTTTTAAACTATAAGAAAACTAATACTAGAAATGTCCTGATGCATCTCAATAATCCAGGTAAAAAATCAAAAAGAAAAAAATTGTATAGGTCTTCTGGACGGGTTCTTCTCTAATGAAACGTTTCGTCTCTYYTCYAAGAGACTTCTTCAGTCTGAGAGTTTCAGGCAAAATTCAGGCTTWTAAGCMCTGCCTCMATGTGACTGATACTCACATCACATGGCTATCGTTGACACCTAATTAACACCTATTGTTAACAGGGGGTGGAGTGATACTGGCAATGGCAGCACTGTAGGAGGGGGACAACTGAAAACGGAGGCCTCCACCTCTGTTTAATGATGGACGGTCTTTCTTCGGCACAAACAGAGCAATATTGTATATGCTGTGAAGTGCCAGGAGGACTGCGACCAGTTATACATTGGGGTAACAAAGCAGCCACAGTTCAAAAGAATGTCCCAACACAGACGAGCTACATCTAATGGCCAGAACTCTGCAGTTTTCACTCATTTACAGGCCAGCGGTCACTCTTTCAGAGATGAGGATGTTCTCATTCTTGATAGAGAGGAACGTTGGTTTGAGAGAGGAGTAAAAGAAGCCATTCTTGTGAAGAAAGACCGTCCATCATTAAACAGAGGTGGAGGCCTCCGTTTTCTGTTGTCCCCCTCCTACAGTGCTGCTATTGCCAGTATCACTCCACCCCCTGTTAACAATAGGTGTTAATTAGGTGTCAACGATAGCCATGTGATGTGAGTATCAGGCAGTGCTTAAAAGCCTGAATTTTGCCTGAAACTCTCAGACTGAAGAAGTCTCTTAGAGGAGAGACGAAACGTTTCATTAGAGAAGAACCCGTCCAGAGGACCTATACAATTTTTTTCTTTTTGTTTTTTTTTTGTTTTTTTAATACTAGAAATAATAAAAACTAAAACTAAGCAGTAAACAAACAATAAAAACTAATAAAAAGTAGCAAATCCACTGTAATAACTAATAAAAACTAACTGAATTAAAAGAAAAAAAGTCAAAACTAACTAAAACTAAACTATAATGAAAAATCCAAAACTATTATAACCTTGGGAAAAACACAGTCCTCAAGCTGCAGAGTTGCAGAAGTTAAACTACATTACTTTGTAACGAGACCAGGTGAGATGAGACTTAAGGAGTAGTTACAAAAAATAAACAAAGCTTTTAACACAAAGTTAACTTAGTGGCCTCTCTCCTGTCCTGTTTCTCACGTAGGGCCCACATGGACATTTTATTTCAGTATCATTTTGTTTATTACTTTGTGATTCTGAACCAGCTTCAGAATCTACAGGAACTGAACTAAACTGGACTTAGTTTGACCCAGATCCCGGGCAAAGACAAGGATTTATCACAAACTGTTTGATCAGACACCCCTCCTTTTACAACCGGGAGACCAACTGGTTTTAATCAAATAACACCTTTATCTTCTTACTTATCAGGACCCCTTTGATTTAGACCAAGCTGAAACCAATGCTATTGGTTGATTGACAACCAATAGCATGACAACACCCCCTAAGGACTGAGAACTGAAAAGTAACTTTAAAACAATTGAACATTAATGAAATAACTACAGTGTTATTTTTCTTGTTAAATATAAAAAAGAAAGAAAAGAAAAAGAAAATGCTCTTCTGTATGTATGTTCCTGTGTAGACCTTAGCATGTTTTCCTGCTTTAGTATCTGGACTTTACCTGGTATTAACTCTGTTTAAAGTAGTCTGAAAGTTATATTTTCACATTCTCAGTTTTATTGTTATTTCTTTATTTCACAATTTGATTTATTCCACAAATGAAGTTGCTGTTTCACTTAGTTCTTTATTTTGGTAAAACCTTTTCCTTTATTAATAACATGACTTGCTATGAGTATAAATGCAACATAACTTAGGGATTAATGTTTCCCCTTTTATGAAAATTAAGAATTAAGGGTTATTTCTTTCATTTAGTGGACCTGATTTAAATTTGGCTAAATTCACTGCATTAATAAGTAATTATTAATTAGTAAGTGTAGAAGTCAAAGTTTTGTTAAATGCTTGTGTTTAGAAAGTCATCTGACGGAGAGGCAGAGTAATAAAAATTGACATTTTTTTAGCTCCGGTTTCTGTGTGATTATTTTATTTGAGTTCAATTTTATCTTTATATTATTTCAATTGCCTTTCTTTTCTTTTAACATAGTTGTAGTATTATCTCATTACACACCATTCTCCCATAAACCTGTATTCAGCATTTCCTGTCATCACCTCCCATCCTTCAATACACAACAGTGTATCAACTTTAAATGAACTTGTCCGTGTTTTAATGTGAAACGTGATATTCATCTAAGAAAAGAAGTCACGCTGCTTCAGGAAAATTTTCTAGACTGATAAGCATTAACATAATGCAACATTAATTTTCCCTGCATAGGGTGGCGCCCCAAATAATTAAAATAACAAGACTTGAATTATTAATAATTCATAATTTACTTTAATTCATAACATTATCTATAAAGTCACTACACTCAGACCTTCTACCTCTAAAGGTACTAACAAACCATAAACTGTAGAAGTCTAAATCTCAGTTAGACCTAAGCTCTGTGATTACAAATTCAAATAAGCATCACTGTACCTTGTTCCTTTGCCTCAGTCACAGTCCGGTCTGCCAGAGACCCAACGCTCTGTTCCTCTATGTCAGAGGGAGGGGACACAGGACAAAGATCCAGCTCATAACCGTTAGGGTCAGATTCTACAGACGGCTGACCCTCAGACTTCCAGTTGTGTCTCAGCTCAGGCATGAGTTCTTCTGATGAGCTCTGGATGGGTTTAAAGCTGCAGGATTCAGGTCCAACATCAATGGTTTCCAAGTCTTCTCTGCTGTAGCTGATCTCGATGTCGCTGTCTTCTTCTGGGAATTCTGACTCAAAGCACTGAGTTCCTGTTGAGGCTTTGTTTTCAGCGCAGGACAGACTGACGTCTTCATCCTCACCAACATTTCCAGCAGCATCGTTAGAGTCCGCCACTGCATCCGGAAACAAAATATCCGCTGCAAAAGGGTTGCTGCCTTTGAAAGGGTCTGAAGCAAATCCATCTGGAATGAACAATCAACATTTATAAACACCAAGCAAGCCAGATTCGAACTTTTGGTAAACTTTGGGGAAACACACAGAAAACTACTCATATTAACATGAACACAAAGATTACTGCCCACCTGATGAGTCTGTTTTAGTAAACAGGTCTTCGTTGAAGAGATCATCTACAAATAAAGAACAAATAAACACGTTAATTAAACCTCAGTATACCTAGGTCACATAATCAGATAACCGTTAAATAAATTCATTATGAAATTTAACTCAGCTGATGTTTACCAGAAGCATCACATGGATCTGAACTCAGAGTGTACTCTGGTACTTCTTAAAGACCAAATATTAAAAGGATCCACGATTAGTTGTAACATTAGACTTTATTTGATAAACATTTATTTTAACTGTAAACTAAAGACTGTAAAAATACTGTGGGCTGTTTAGTTTAGTAAATTTTTAAAAATGTATTTTAACACGGACGGAGCCATTTTATTTACACGCAAAGCATTCTGGGTAAATGATGATGTGGATAGGTCATCAGTGTGAGCGAACTATATCCACCCTGAAGGTTAATCTTGGACAATATCTGATGATCGACTCTTTTAAATGAAACCAGAGAGCGTTGACAGAGAGGAGAAGGTAGAAATGACTCAGCCTGTAACTGAAAATATGGATGGAGGACAACAGAGCGACTTCATGGAAGAAGAACCTCAGCTTAGCCTGTTAGCTTTAGCGCCAACGCTATATTGCATTAAATGTATTAGCTTGGTGCTAGTGCAACAAACTAACAAGCTAAACTGAGCTCCTCCATTCATATTTTCACCAGCTGTCCCACAACCCAGAGAGGAGGTAAAGAAAATTAATGGATGAATCTTACAATAAGAAATGACAAATCCATGGCCAATTTAGTCTTTTTGTAAACTATGTTAATGCAGCCTCATGCAACACTGCAAGACTCCACAAGATGTGTAGCATTCAGTGTGTATTGAGAGTGACTTTAAGCAACAATCACATCAAATTTAGCTCAATATCTGCAAAATTTGAGTTATAATCATTTTTATGTTAATACATATAGATTAACTGTAGCCATACTGAGTTGACTCCAGAATTTAATCAGTTGTAGTCGTTCATCCAGTAATTACCTTTTAATATTTTTGCTTTAGGCCAAAGCAATTCACAATTTTTGTGCTCCAAGTACATATTGAATGTTATTCACCTGCTGCTAACTCACAAAATCTTTGCTCAGGATCTGTGAAATTGTCATTTATATGTATTTTTGCATTAAGGTCACTTCATTGTGGCATCCATCTTGAATTAGGTTGAGTCTAAAAGCCAATAACCGGAACCGGACGGGAACATAGCGGAAAAACAATCGGTCCGACCCGTACCGACTCGTACCTACACCGACCGTTCCGACACTACACTAATGGAAAAGGGGCATAAGGTGTCTGTGTAACCCACTTTCTGACATTTTCTTTTATTTAGTAGGAAAACAAACATTTTAGATTGTAAAAGTTACAAACTCCTGACATAGGTCTTCTTACTTAGGTCATCCAAAAACATTCACACTCTACCTTTAATGTGTCCAAAACTGATTCAAAAGTTGGAAGAACTTGTAAAATACAGGTTGATGGTCTACCTGCTAGGCCTTGCTGCCTGACACACCTCCAACTGTGCCTTTGTGCAAGCACACTCACCTGAACACCTCCTGCCTGGTGATTTCAAGAAAAATCAATATTGTGCTTGTCCAGATTGTTCCAAGTTCAGAAGACAGGTATAAATACTGTATGTATCAGAGTGAATCTGAAACAGTTTAACAGTTTCAGCCCTCCAGCACAGTGTGGAGGAAAGCAAAGGACACATGTTTGTTCTTCTATCCTCATGGGGACTTTGCATAGACTTCCATTAATTTCTACAGCCTACCCCTAACCGTTGGAGTTTAGAAGTCATCATGCTTTTTGAAGGTGTTTCTGTATTAGCATGCTAAACCTGCTTTGTTATCTGTTGCTTTGTGCGTTTTTGCAAAAGACAAGCAGGCTGCGATTCGTATGTTTCAGAAACATTCTATCATTCTTACATTGCTGTTTCAGTTACGCAAAATGCTTTCAGTTTCGCATGCAAATTGCTTGTTTTCCTTTTTTTAATAGGATGGCCTCCCTTCTCCCCTTATAGCCATCCCCTCCACACCATTATGTTTTTTTTGTGTGAAGAGAAAAATAGAGAGAGAGAGAAAAACAGAGAGAAGTAATTAGAAAAATAGAAAGACTGAAATAGCGATTAGGATTGTATTAAATATACACCAACAAAACACAGGACCACACACCCAACATCTGTCCGCTCACCTGAAAAATAAATGGATAAATACATAGAAGGCATATAAAAATACACACATACCCATACATATATAAAGATATACATACATACATGCCTACATTCATAAATATTGTCTGTATATACACATAGACATATATACACACTCAGTGACCAGTCAGAACCCCCGGATCAGAGCACAGAGTATTTTATAGTTTTGGAGAATCATCATTACATTTGACTGAAGGGGTAATAGTGGTATGACAAAATGGCTCAGGGGGTACACAAGTCTACAAAGTTTAGGAACCCTGCTCCAGACCATTCCATAATCCTATACCCTGGATTAAAGTACATCTTTCTTTCAAGCAAGTATGAAAATATGGCTTCACAAACATTTCCATCATCTTAAGATAATAACAACTGAATGTTGGAAGGTAATATGTTTCTGTGAGTCTTGTACATAAACAGTAAAATATTATAGACAAACAAAATCATAGAATTTCAAAATTTTCAGT